AAAACAAATACTGCAATGCTATAATAACTATCAAGAGTTTGTATTTTTGTAAGATCGCTCATATATTATTATTACGTTATACAATAATACATTATACATAAATAATCATGGAAATTAAGTCGTATTTCTTTCAATGAAAAATAACAACAAAATAATAAATATCCTGGATTTGTGTACATCAAAAGTCGGAAGAACCACCAAATGGCCAAGTGTGACGTAGTTTTGACGTTTCCATGGCGCCAGCAGGACAAGCTGTGGTTGGACTAACGTTTATGTCAGATTAAAAAACGCTCCATATCGCAAACTATGTTTTGCTGTCGTTATGACGTCAATAATACTACCAGTTAACAATGAGGTATTGCTATATTAAAAGATATTACACCTTTACCGAGATCCTAACCCTAACCTTGTAGTGTAACTACACACTTCAATGAACTACAATTTACAGCGCCCGTCCCAGTGACACAACGATAGAGGCTCATGGGTAATATAGTTTTAAAACGTTTTGTTATGGAATTAAATAAATACAATCTTTAATGAACAAAAGTACATCTAAATATGTTAATTAAGCTAATCTCTTCGACATATTTGAGATTCAGACTAAAATGTGGTATTTCACTGTGAGCACTTTTTAAAATGCTTTTGTAACACCTTTCCATGTATGCCAGACATCTCTGTTCAACATTATGTATTAAACATAACAAAAATAATTGTCCTACCAATTTTCACTTCTATACGCTTATCAGACTTTGCATTTGCAGACTTTGCAGAGTGTTTTTTTTTTTTTTTTTTTTGCTTTTCCAGGGGTGCTACAGGACCCCTGAGGGAGGAAGGGCGGATATAGCTACTCTCTTCATCATGGACAACAAACTGTATTGAGTCACATTTATATCTGCACATATTCCCCACCTTTTCTATATTTATATATGCTTGTGTTTGGTTTTTGATCTGCACTCGTAACACAAAAATACAGTAATATTTTACAAATGTTTTAAAATAGACTTTTCAGAATTGCTAAAACACTAACCCCGTTTACAGACAACAACTCAAAATTGTTCACTTATTTCTAATTGATGAGATCAAACCAATTGCACATAATACAAGTCAGTTCAGAGTTCCAAAATTGATTTAAAATGTTGCACTGAATGTTGATACAAACAATGGATGGTAACAATATAAGAGGGAGAGTATGTGAAATAGGTGGTGAACAAAGAGGAAGAGGAGGAGGATGAGAAAGAGCAGAGCAAGGTGTGGAGAATGTTTTAAAGGCTGGATCTGCTTTAGCGATTTTCCTTTTGCCTGAGATGACATTGTCTGTGATGTGGCCAAGGTCTTCCGGCCGGACCAACATGAAGACATGATGTGAGGCAGAATCACTCTCTCACTGACCATGATTTTGCAATAATTCTTCTGAGTGTACATTTCTGTTTACACACGTTTTGATAATAATAGTATAATAATACAATAATATAATAATACACTTTTGAATATACCATGTAAACACTGCTGTTCTAAATCTAAAGCTCTTTGGTCTTTCATAGGCTTATATCTACATTTCAATACAATGTTCTACAGTGAGAGTAATCTGCTGAGAGGGGTAACAAGTACGCGTAAACACCAATGCAATGTAGAAACAGAAATTATATATTAGGCCAAACATTACTATTGTACACATAGCATACAACAAAACTATAAAACATGTACATAAGCAATGTTGCACATGTGAGGAGTGTGTGTAATGTTTGCACATGTGAGGAGTGTGGTGAATAACTAAGTGTAGCATTTTGATTGGTTGTGTCTTTGTGTTTTAGCTATCTTGTGTAGCTATCTTATTTTTAAGAGAATTGTGTGTAGTGTTTTGAAAAAAAAAGTGTTTTTAATGCAATTGAGTCAAGAGAAATAAGTATGGGCGTTTGAAGATTTGGCATATAGTTTTGCACTTTGAGTGAGAGGTTTCAAAAATCATGTGACATGAAAAGATTTTGTGTGTAGGCAGTTGGTAAAAACTGTAACATGCTTTTGATTTAGGCTTTTTTCACGTAACCTTTTTGTCTTTTGCAGTTGTCTTTTACTGTATTTTCACAGTATGCAAAACAGTGCTGAAGACATTCAATACTATATAATATTCGGTAACAATATGCATTTTACATTCCCGTTACCCATGTACATACTATATACTAATTATAGTAAATACAATCACTGGGTAATAACTATGTTCTAACCCTGAACCTACCACTAGCCCATGTACTTACCTTATATTAGCCAGTACTTTCTAGGTAAGTACACTGTAAGTACAGTACTGTAAAAGGAAGCATTAACCTATATTCAGTACAATTCTATACTTGCAGTGCTTACAGTACACAATTTATTCACCTTGTCATTATTATACTTTTTAACGTAATTGCAAAAACAAAATTACTTAGTTGCGATACATTTCTTTCTGGTAACTGCGTGTTTTGGATTCTGTTCTTATTTTTTTTTTTTTTTATCTATTGTATAACAAATGATCTGTAGTGATCATGATAATGATTATTCCTCCTCATCATTATGGTTTTCCTCCTCATAATCTGCTTCTTCCATGTCACTAAACAGGTTTCAATGGGCTTTATGCACAGCTGCACTACTTCCTGAATTTCAGTCAGCTCCTTGTTTCCTGTCTGCCATTATTGGCCAAATTGATTAATTCAGGTGTGCTTGACCTCAGTAGTCATGGCAACAATAATCAGACACACCTGAATTAATCAATTTGGCCAATAATGGCAGACAGGAAATAAGGAGCTGGCTGAAGTTCAGGAAGTAGTGCAGCTGGGCATAAAGCCAATTGTTATACAGCACCCTACAGTTCAACTAATGAAAGTTACTATACCTCACAGTACAGTACTTTAATTAATGCAATTACATTCCACCCACTGACTGGTTTAAGAGGCATGCATGTACACATTTCTATGTATGTGAAAGAAGAGGTTACACTTTGGTTTTATTTATATGGTGATAAATAGCAGATTTTATTACATGCTTTATATTCATAGTTAAGGCTATTGTCCAAGTATGAAAGGTGTTACAGTCTTGTAGATTACAGTCCATCATCAGAAATGTCATCGTCACTGTCGTACTCATCAGATGATGCATTGTCCAAAAAGCTGATGTTCTCTGCTCCAGACAAAACTTGGAGGTAACAGTCTCTTGCTTGCACCTTCATTTCTCTGATTTGATGCCGCTTTCTGAGGATGATGCTGTGCAGACCTTTCAAACCCTCTCCACTTAGATCACATTGCGAATCTTAAAAGAGGAACACAAGAATATAATACCAGCCTTAGAAACGTTATAAACAGTCATCATTGTTGTGTGTATATTTATTAGGGCCCCCTAATAGCAATCTTTTGTCGGTGCAACCCTATGGCTATAGCCTGGTTGAAACCAGACCATTCATTCATAATTGAGTTATGGTCTGGCAAAGCATCATAGACAAATCATTTCCAGAGGGGCGTCACCAACGGACATCGCGGATAGACCTAAAACCAATCAGAGTGATGAAGGAGATGACGTATGCAGAGCGGCGGAGAAACATCTCCGAGTGTTGTTCTTTGCTCGGTTTTTAACACAAAGGAAACGTTCAAAGCGCTTAAAACAGACACGATAGCTGATTCGAATGAGTGATTTGACAGCGGCACCCAACTTTATAATGTAGGCTACAAAATCTGCTTCAAAATCCTAGCGCTGTTGTCATCGTGTAAAGCCCGCCCCAACGTTTCTGATTGGTGCCACGATTTCGACGGATTGGAAATGAGCTTGAATGAGCTCTTTGCCAGACTAACTTTCAGAGCAAATCTAAATTTGCCGGAAGTTGTATGGGTTTTCCCAGGCTACTATGGTTATGTAATTTATAACAAATACATAATATAGAGTGTCTCACTTGAAAATAAGCAGGACAGCTCTCTGAGGGTATCAGAACGAGCTGAGAGAGATTTCCAATGGTGGTCCATCTCTGCAACAAGAATCTTCTGCTCCTCCTCAAGCCTTCTTACTGACATGATGATGTCAAAAGCTCTTCTCTTTGTCCTTAGATCGACAGAGTCTGGAATGCATTTATGATAAATAAACAAATCATTAGTTTTAAACATCAACCTTCAAAGACCCTCTAAAATAGTATGGGGTTGCAGAATAACATTTAAGGCCATTATGTATCAGATTTGTCAGTAGCAGTCAACAGTCTAGTGTACATACCACTGTGTGGGAGCTGCCATGGCCAAGCTGTCTCACCAGACAAAATGGTGTCTAGGCAAAGAGTTTCTGTGATTGGAACCATTCTGTTGTATTTCTCCACAACAGATGTCAGGATTCCCTTCTCCTCCCTGATCTTGCGGCGGATTCTGGCTCGACCTTTGTTGCCATCGTTATCTTTATAGAGACGCTGGGAACGTCTCTTGATACTGGCTACCAGCACCTCAATTCTGCTGGCCAGGGCATCAGCATCATTCGTAGTTGTTGTTGCTGTTGTTGCTGCTGAGAAGAAATAGGTGTGGTTTGCACTTTACAATACCAGTAACAATTACAATTATTTGTGACTAAATGTACAGTATTACAAGTAATCATTTCCTTACCGTCAGCCCAATCCTTTACATCATTCACCCAGTCTTCCAATTGGCTCGCTGTCACTGTCAATTGGGCTTTCATGGTCTCTAGGTTTTGTAACTGGCTTTGCAGAGATTTTGTGGTCTACAATAACAAACAGTAGTTAGAAACAAGAACCAAATGTTCGATGCACAGCTTCATACACTGCTAACATGCAATACTGAACATCTAAAATTAATTCTACTGATGTCATTACCTTTTGATATCGGCGGGTCAGTGAGATTGCCAAATTGTTAACCTTTTGCTGATTCCAGCGCATGGCCATGAGAGTGAGCATGTCTGTGCGTCCTGCAAAGACAGAAAATAAGATGTTACCATATTCCTCCAAATTAGTATATAAGGATGTACCTAGTGCAGTATGTCACCTTACCTGCTTTTGACATATGTTTTGTGGTCACTGCAATCCTAGAGAGGAAGGCATTGCACTGTTCCACCTCCTCCCCCAGTGTTAGACCAGCCCCATCCTGATATGCCCCACTCCATTTCACCTGGTTAAGAATAATAAAAATTAAAAAAAAAAACAATAAAAAAAAAAAACAAAAAAAAAAACAGATGTTTGTAGATTTAGATAATACAATTATATCATATAGCAACATTTCCTTACCTCACATTTAAAATCATGGGCTTTGGCATGAAATACCGAAAGGAAAGGCTTCATGTTCAGAAGGTGCTGGAGCTCTGGACAGCTTTTCGCAACTCTTTGGAGGTAGGGCCAATATTTGCAGGTCACATCCATGCAAAAAAAAGTGATTTGCCTACTGGCCAGCTTTTCTTGCAGGTACAGGGGATAGGCAAAAATTTCCCCCCTATACATATTTAAGGCAGAGAGCAGGACACCGTGCCGACACACCGCAAGCTCCAATCCCTCCTCGTCTACCTTGCTGGCAGATCTTTGTGAGGTCTCTCTGGCTGCTGACCACTCACCTCCACAAACACCTCTTCCACTGACCTACAATAAGAAAAATGGTGGATGAAAATAAGACTCTCATAAACAAACTCTTCGGAAAGAGGTTTTACAAAATTTTACATGTTTGGTTGTGTTGTGAATGTGGTCCACAAATCTTTTCACGTCTTCATCCTTGGCAATGAAGACGTCTTCAAAGATGGCCTGTTCCTCAGATCTAAAAAAATAAAAAACAACAATTGGTGATGGATAACAATTTATGATAACTTATAATCTGAGATTTCTTGGTTCACACATTAAAGAGTTATGTTTTCCTATTAATACAAACAATGTGATACACAGTTTGGAGTACCTAGCAGCATTCTTGAAACGATAATGCTTGCGGTTTCCATCAACTGAAACTGCAAGCATTTCAGGGGTGCACGCAGGACAGTTAAAGGGTTCTTCCTTGCACATATTGTCCAACTCAAATCGCACAGCCTCCCACTCAAAAAAACTTTTCAGAAAACTGTCCGCTGAGATCTTGCCAGTCTATTAAAAACAAGGAAACCAACAGCTAATAATGTACAACAAATAAATTAGCATCAAACAGTTTATCAAACCACAACTCAACAAATATCAACAACACTGCAGGATAGATAAATTAAGTACTCACACGACCAAAGCGGACAGTTCGCTGATTCAGCATTCTTAAAAATGCTTGGCAGGACAGTCCTGGTGCCGCCATCTTCATTTCTTCAAATGAAAAAAATACATCTGTGGCATAAACTGTGGCAAATTGAAGGGTTGCAGGCCAGTAGTCACTTCTGTTTAGGTCAGCGACTCCAGAAGTCCAAGTGGCTTGGCATGCCTCACAAATTAACTCGGGCATGCTTAGATCATGTCGTCCTGGAAATATCAAAAACACATCCACTGTAATGTAAACCAGGATTTGTGTTCTTTGTACAATTTATACATTACTTTAAAAGTTTTATATCAATGTCAAACTTGTAGGTAGTCACGTATGGATATATATTTATTTTATTAAGATGCTTCTTAAACAGGACAAAATAAAGTTCTTCACATTCTTACCATTCATTGTGACCACAGCAACAGTCTTTCCTGGACTAACCCTCAATGACTCTGGTGAGCAACCACAGATTTTGTCAGGCATCTCCACAGGTACAAGCCGGACTGAAAAAGAACATATGGTACAATTGAATTATGATCAATTTGTATTGACTGAGATTGTAATAGATCAATGGCAATGAAGAAAATCCAAGATAAAACAATAATGGAAAAAAGGCATAATTTAAATAATAAAGCTTATGAGCTTAACTATTCTGAAAATTATACAAATGTTGAACACAAACCAGAACTTACCACAATGGGAAAGAGCCATATCCACCACGTAAGTTGTTGGAGGCAATGGTTGGAAGAATCCAGCAGTCATGGCATCTCTGTTGTGAAGAACATGTCTGGTGTGCATGCTGACGTCACATTCAGCACAGAAGAAGGGACGTGGTCTACAGTCACAACACCGGACAGCCGCTGGATTACTCCCACACTGTTGGCAGATGTGTGTTGCCACATGTTCCCTTTCCGCAGCCGTGTTTACCAGGCGGGGTCTCTCTGCCCTCCACCTCTCTGAAAAGAGACTTTGTCTTTTGCTCCAGTTTGAGGAAGCCAGAAGAGGATCTCTTGGGGTTTCAAGAGGTGATGCTTCATCACCAGAGAATTCACTTAGTGAGTGTTGGAGATCTTGTAGAAAACACTCTGTAAATGATATGGAATATTAAAAAAATTCATTCCATGTATGTGTGTATATATATATATATATATATATATATATATATTTTTTTTTTTTTTTTTTAACAATATTAAAGTGTACTCAATTTGGCTGTGAAAGGATCAGTATTCTACCAAAGTTTAAAGTAGAAACATTTATTTACATTCTAACCCACTGTCATAAATGTCATAAATATCATATATATATATATATATATATATATATACATATATATACAAGGGCTAATGGTGACACAATGAAGTACACACCAACAGTCTCTGGAGTAAAGGCCACCTCACAGTTAGGGTCAGGAGCAATGAAGGGAGGATCAGTCTTCCGAATGTGATCAGCTGTAGAGGATAAAAACAACACAAATCAACATTTATAACTTGTCCCAATGCCTGGTTGCCCACCTAAAATGGTGCAAGCTCACTGTTTAACATAGAGCTAGAGAGAAATATTAGTACACTTATTTTCCAAACCCTAATGGGGAAAGTCCAATTACTATTGGTTATCTGCATATAAGGTGTCATATAGATGATGACAGCAAATATGAATCCTTATATAGAAGCAGATTAAAAAGAAACACGTTGGTTGGCAATTGACAACACACTCTGAAGAATAAAGTGTTTCAAACACAGCCTTGCCAAGACCAATAACTTGAAAGAGATTAAGTATGATAGTAACCAGGCTATCTCATTTGACGTTATATTAACCATTTTGACAAGAATGCCTGACAATGTCAATACAGCCCACAATTAAACTATTTTTTATGCTTTGCAGAAATATCTAATATTAACCTGAATGTGTCTTTCACTTAATCCAAGACTAATGATATCTTTCATTAATCTACTTTTTATGCAAAAAATCAAATGACTGATTCTGGGTTGACTGTTTCCCTGCCATATTACGCTATACATGTATTGTAACATATACACTCATAAGTGGTTAAACAATCTACAATATATCTTGAATGAAAAACAATACTGACCCTTATCTGAATGATTCCTGCTTGATCTTGGCCTCGCATGAACGATATTTCCAGTATTGTCTCTTTTTCTCCAAACCACCCTCGGTTCAGGTGTCTTTACTGGTGCTGCTGCTGCTGCCTCCTCTTCCTGCAGCTCATCAAGAAGGTCATCAAGACTTTGGAGCTCATCTTTCAGTTCTTGGTCATCAACCAAGTTATCCAAGATCATGAGATGATCTTGGATTTCTGAATCACTCTTGGACATTGTGATGGGCAGAAACACAAACAGACAGAAAGACTCACAACGAAGAGATGACAGACAAACAAATAAATGTAGAGAGAGAGAGAGAGAGAGAGAGAGAGAGAGAGAGAGAGAGAGAGAGAGAGAGAGAGAGCTAGAGAGAGACTGATAAGTGCAGATTAACAAGACAGACGTGGCTCTTAAAAGTGCCTTTGTTTGTGTGTGTGTTTTGTGTGTGTATGTGTGTAAGAATAAAACTCGTTTTAGAAGCTGCCAATTTTGAGGGTCCTAAAGAAAAAACAGAATTGAACATTTTACACCAGTATTCTCTTCATCTGTGTTGCCAGAATGAGCTATATTTTATGTGATATTCATTGTATACAGTTCAATAAACTAGAATTTAATATTGTTAATGACATTTTAGAAAATAATTAGACAAGAAATGTTGTCTAAAATTAAATTATATATAATTCATATACGAATCAGTCAATAAGTTATGATATAATTACTTATTACATTAATTATACATTAATTATACGATTTGTTTGGGTGTTAATTATATAATTTTGCGTGGATTTTAAACAAATAGGCTGTAAAACAAACCAATCTGGCAACACCGTTCTTCATCTGAACATTTATAATGTTGAATAACAGTTGTGTGCTAATGTAATACTGAAAACCTTAAAATCTCCACTAGTATTGCCTTACATGATTATTTCATAGGATTATATGCAACAAAATTTGACAAAAACTTTAATTCAATTAACTTTGCTGGCCTGCACATTTGCAGCATCAAGCTATATTTTCATATTGTCTCTTTCCATCATTTACTGTCAAAATAAATTGCCACCTTACACATCTAAAGGTTCTAAACACAACTTCTTGTCCTAATTCAATAGTTTTTGATGTGTACATTTAAGAATAGTATCCATCTCTATTAATTAACTCTTCTACTTACCGAGTGGAAAATCGCAATGGACCTCGGGATCGCACCATACAGTGACGTCAGCGTTATTAATTTAGATGATTTAAAAAAAATACAAATTTAAATTAAAAAACATTATAAATTTTATATAAACATTATATATATATTTATTAACATAAACAAAACTCCGATAAAAATACGTTATCCTGCATGCTCTAAAGCACGTGTACATCATGGATGCCAGTAACGTTAACCTTCGACAAGAAAACGCTTAAACTGCTTACTTGCACACGCCGTGGAGCGTTGTTAAACTCACCGTTAAATGCCTTTCTACATGCAGTTTAACGTTGATTTGGTTAAACTCCCCTCTGAATGCCGCTTTACCTGCAGTTGAGTGTTGTTAAACTCACCGATGAATGGTTGTACAACACAATGAGCGTTGTTAAACTCATCGATGAATGCGGTTGCACATGAAGCCGCTAAACCTTTGCGGAGACTGAGGGCACTTTGAAATCAGATTGTGAGGGTTTTTAAACATGTAGAAACAGTTGGATCACCACCACTATACTAGCCCCGGCATAGATCATTATTGTAGCCTATTCATTTTTATTGCAGTCTCGACTCTCGACCCATTCGCAGCAGACCATTGCGGTGAGCTTACCCAAGACGTCAAATTTCAACGCTACAGGCTCCGGTTGAGAGAACTATAGAAGTCTATCGGACTACCCTGCACGTTGAAAAATGACGACAAAGGTATACCCAGTGCGTCAAGAAATGACGCCAAGGGGTCCTGCCCAAGCGTCCATATGTGACGAGTTGGGGTGTGAGAATGTGTTGGATTTATTGAGATTGTAAAAAAAACACTGGGTGGATTTTTATCATTCTTGGGTGGTTTTGCTCACACACTGCCAACACATATTTATGTTCAAACACCATGTAAAAGTGAATTTTCCATAATAGGTGCCCTTTAAAAAACCGCAAAGTACCCCCCTCCCCCTCCCCAAATGTTTTTTCATCGGATCTGCACAAGTCACGTTGGTGACCCATTTTGTTCTTAAAACGGCGAATTTTGCCGAAAGGTGAGAAGTTTTCATGCCTGTGTATACTTACAGATACACATTTGCAACAGAGTTTGTTTTAAATAAATAATATTTAAATAAATAAAAATGTAGATTTAGGCATGATTTGAACTGAACTGCCTCCCCTCAAATCATTGTAACTAATTTTTACAATATTTTACTACTGTAGACTCTAGTGCCTTAGAAATCAAAACACCATAATTTGTATGACTTTTGTTTTTTTTAAAGCAATTCATAACGTTTCAGGGCTCACATATACTATTATAAAACCAATGTCCTGATTCAAAATGAAAGTACAGGAAATGGTATTTTTCGATTACAGATTTTTTTAATACACTTTATATTTACATATCAAATCTATAAAATAGACGGATGTTGAAATATGCTTTCACTCAAACTTCCAGTGCCATAGCCCTTTACACACATTCCCAGGTTACTTACATCCCAACATTACATTTTTGATACAGTAAGGTCAGCAATGCAAAACAAAATACTGGCACTTCAAAAGTAGCTTAAACACAATGTTAAACATTTTCTGTTGTTTAGGACACAAAGTAGTGACATTTAAGTATGAGATTCATGAAATTTCTGCAGGTTTTATTTAGTTTTCTATTATCTTGTAAGCTTGAGAAATAGTGGCAACACACACTACAGGCAGAAGATACACTCAGAGAACACACACAGCTGTACCAGGATCAGTGTTGCTCTACACAGGCGCAGACACCTAGCAACCTTCAAATACTACAGCACCAATAGAAATAAACTTCATAAAATAGACCCCTTACAGTATTTGAGGTACAGTATATGTCACACAATCACAATTCATTTAAAACTCCCGCAATACATCTTATATATTAAACAGCGTATAACAGATCAATTGAGTTAATTGTAGCATTTATAGCTGACAAATTATGTGTTCTTCTGATTTCATTCTGTTGATTATTGATTTGAAATTGAGATGTGGTGATTCCTAAGGGCATGCTGGTATTCCAGTAACATATGATTCAAATATATAATCAAATATGTTTCATGAAATCAAATTAAGTGTGCGATTTCAGGACAAAAACACTTTATTTGACAGTGTCCTTGTTACATGTTACATGTACTTACCATAGTAATAACTGTAAATTATGCATAATTACATGCAACTAATCCTCAAACAAATACTAATCCTACCCTACATGTAGTTGCTTAATGTTACTCTGTACTTAAATATATAATTAGAGTTTAACAATGACACCTTAAAATAAAGTGTAACCTTTTCTTGTTTTAATCATTTTACTTATAGACGAATCCGGCGAAACTAACGGAAGTAAGCGGGCGCCATTACTGAGCTGTTGCTGTGTAGCGTTGCGCCATTGCCTCCTATTGTTTTAGTTGCAACTTGCGTCTACTGGAATAAACAGCCCGCGATTTACGACTGTCACTAACGTTACAACGTTACCCCTTGTATAATGTCGAGTGGGTAAACAGTTTCCGTTATAAATTGTTTCAATGGTGGCAGTAAAATTTCAATTTTGAAGAGAAAACATTGTGAATACCCTGGGTCGACTGCCCCTGTCTGGTGCCGTACAGTTTACACAGATTTCCTGGGCGAGTACAAGATGCGGACATTCGCGTATAATAACAATTATTTAATGACATAAGTTAAAAAATATAATAAATATGTGATATAGTGATCAGCAAAATCTCCTCTTTTGCTATTTTTTCTATTCAATTAACATGCTATGGTCATTAAATAGCTTTCCTGAGCTAAATGTAACGTCATGTGACATAATTGTTCTCCTGCTGTTATATTGACGTCTTTCCATGGTTTAAAACACTAATTGGTCGATATTGTATACTTTCTAGCTGTAACGTTACCTTACCCTTGCCCGTTGCAGTGTGAAAATGAGATAAATAATGGACACAAATGAAAAACATGAATTTGTTTATTTGATTTCATTCATTTATTTATTGTTGCCAAATGGACAGATCTTTTTACAGTTTCCTCGTTAGCAAACGTTAGCCTAGCTAGCTTGCCAATCTATTTTCATAAATAATCTGTAAGATCGTTTGTACCTTCATCTGTGACTGGAGGCCACTGTCTAACATCATCAACCCAACAAGTCATTCTGCCTGGCTGTAGCTGTCATCGAGGGTGCGTTCGCGTTATCACCGAGGTTTGTTTACATACCGGTGCATATGTCTATGCCTGTGTAACAGCTCAGTAATGGCGTCGCCACAAGATGGCAGCCTACACAGAACGCTCGTCGGATTCGTCTATATGCATAAATTATATTTCCCTTTCAAGGGAACTTTGACCTGTGTCGAACGCTGTGGGAATGCCCCTGCGTTGTGTGTCATGAAGCACGTATGGAATCAGCCCAATGGAGAGACGGAACGTCATAGGCAGGTGACGTCATCAACCAGGAAATGTTGTTAGTATTCCAGCACTGCAGTGGGTGCAGTGCTGGAATTTCTGCAGGAGCGTTTCTCCACAGGGTTATCCCCCTCCACACTAAAGGGGTGTATGTGGAGGCACTGGCTGCTTACCACATCCCTTTCAGTGAAGTTTATCTTGGGAGACACCCGCTTATAACTCGTTTCCTTCATGGCACATTGAGGCTGAGGGCAGCAGTTCGTACGAGGGTACCGACCTGGGATCTGGCCATTGTATTAGAAGGTCCTTCCCTAGCTCCTTTCGAACCTATCGAAGAAGTTTCTCACTTTTAAAACTATCTTTCTTCTTGCTATCTCCTCACTAAAAAGAATCAGAGATTTGCAGTCTCTGTCGTTTGCACCCTCATGCCATGAATTTTCGCCTGGTATGGTTAAGGCTTTTAAGGCTGTACTTTAGGCCAGGTTATGTTCCCAGGTCCCTACTAATGTTGTTAGACCTACAGTTCTGCAGGGTTTCTTTCCTCCTCCATTTCTGTCGTTAGACCAGGAAAAACTTAATTTATTCTGCCCTGTTAAGGTGTTAGACACTTACGTCACAGAGCTGCCCTGTGGAGGTAATAAAAACAATTATTTGTGTGTTTTGGGTCACCCAGGAAAGGGTGTCCTGCGTCTAAACAGAGAATGAGCAAGTGGGTGGTTGAGTCGGCTGGTCAGCCTTCACCTTTGGCTGTACGAGCCCACTCTACTAGGAGTATGACTGCTTCCAAAGCTTTATTGTTAGGAGTCTCCCTGAGTGATGTTTCTTATGCACCTGGATGGTCTTCACAGCATATGTTTATTAAGTTCTATGATTTAGACTTAAGCTCTACCCCTGGGGCGCAGGTGCTCTCATCCTCTGTGCGCTTGATCTCACACGACGGTCATTTGCTCTTATGGCGACGTGGGTATTCACGTTCCCACAGTGTTCGACGCAGCTCGAAGTTCCCTTGAAAGGGAACGTCTAGGTTACGTATGTACGACGATGCGTCGTTCCGCCATACTCTCGGCACTCCCGTTAGCGCTTCCTTCAGGCACTTCCCTGATGCGCTTGTGTTTTTGGGGTGCTTTATAGTTTCCTGGTCAATGACGTCACCCGCCTATGACGTTCTGTCTCTCCATTGGGCTGATTCCATACGTGCTTCATAACGCACAACGCAGGGGCATTCCCACTGTGTTCGATGCAGCGTCTCGTTCCCTATCAGGGAACTAGTGTTACATATGTAACCGAGACGATTTTCCCTTATATAAGACAGCTCAAGCGAATTTCATTCACTAAATCACAGTCAGAAAGGATATTTAAATAACATATAATTCAAATGATGCAATGTGGCACAAATAAATCAAAAGGGAGTCAAATTTGTACTTCTATTTATTTAAATATGAGAGGCCACGCCTGCAGTGTGTCATGAAACCTGTGCTAATAAAGGGCTTTGTTTACACAACACCCTTTTTCCTAACAGCGTAAAAC